ACCGGTACCGGCCGGCACGGTATACTTTCCGGTTACTCGGGGTGGCGGTACCGGAACCGGCGGTTCCGGAACCGGAACCGTCCCAGAACCGTACCGTGTCCACCCCTAGTGACACCAATGAAGAAGACACATTATTCATTGTTTGTTTCTTAGGCATCATGAAGAACGAGCAAGGGCAAGCCCTCGGACGGAGGACCAACTTGGGGATTCTAAGGTTGATCGATCCCCCAAGGAAGCGTTTGGGGGGACGGGGGGATCTAGAGCAGCTCCAATGGAGTTGTTAAATACTCCCTCCGTCCCACTCTCTTTGTCCACTTACCTTTTGGCACACCATCCAATGCACTTCTTTAATTCATTTTATCTTGTAATTTGTATATTAAAAAATTATAGAAATTATATATTAATAATCTATATGTTAAAAAATTCTACCACCTCCCATTGAAAATGCTGTTAAGGGAGTTAAAAAAGATGATCATTTGGGCTATACAAAAATGATCACAGACACAGAGTTTAAAGTGCATTGGCTCAAGGGTTTAAAAAAGTTAATAGTTTTTTAAAGTGCATTGAAAATGCTGCGGACAACTCCTTTTGCAAGGGAGCATTCTGCAAAGAGTAATCAAACTCTGGTGTCACTCTCTAAAGCAGCTTTTGCTGAGCTCAAGCCACCACCACCATATCTGCAGTGTTTACAGAGAGCAATATTATTAACGGGGGTCCTCTTTGTGTGGTTTAATAACAAAAATTAAAGTTAATAGTTTCTTTTTCACTATGTTTTAGAAAAGGTAACATTGTGTGTTTGAGATTCACTCAAAGGAGAAATAATGTGCGGGTTCAAAACTAGCAGTTCTGAACCCAAACCCGACCCAGCCTAGACAGAAGGGGTAGTATAAAGCGCTAGTGGAACTAAAAGACTGAGAGTATTATAAAAAGAAAACGTTCTAAAACATTCATTTTTTTCTAGTTGTGGTCCTTTCTTCCATTTACCCAATCATTTTTGAGATGAGGATTGCTTGATAAGTGACCTAATTGATCCACATTTGTGCAACACAATAGAGAAATTAATGGCAGGTACCAAAAGTTGAAATGACCTAATAGTCAGCAGACAAAAAGAGGATAACTTTTCTTCTTAAAAGGGCTTACCCAGGAATTATCCTTTCTGAAGCAATGTACGTTAGAAGCACCGCCTAAAAGGTAAGGAGAACCTTAGTTTTGCAGAAGGTTTGAACTACAAATGCATGGATCTATTTTACATATCAGAAAAAATATTAATGGGAAAAACTAGAGAGAAAAAAGTCTACCTGGATTTATCATGGGAATAAAATGCTTCAGTAAAGAAATGTATGAATAATGCAGACAACGCTGCAAGGTATCCATATCTTGATGCTTCAAGTAGTAGCAAGGGAATGCACAAGAATGTCAATAGTACCAAAATCCCGTTTCACACATTCGGCAACTTCCTACGGGGAACATATGGATATGTATTTAAATGTTAAAACATTACAGTCGGTTCACTTGGCCTAAAATCGTGAAGTGCATTACCTGTATGACGTTAAAGTTATATCAAAAGTTCATGATCACTAGAATGGTGACGGTGTGCAAGTTGATCTTTTAATGATGAAGGTGGACTAAACATAACCACAACATTATCAATTACAAAATCTGAATAAATAAAACCAATTATTAGGACCAAAATGCCTGCGTAATAACCAATTATTGACTTTTTTATATCGAAATTGAATATATTGTAGTTTTAAATTCTTTATACAGTTCCTTCAATAGACACCTTTTAAAACCTAATAGAGTTTATTTCCTTCAATAGTCTCTTTAACAATCTTCCCAACACAAATTTTTTTATAGAGTTATTCGAGTTTGTATGAACTTAAAACGGCATTATAGAATGTAAAGAATAAAAAGAGAGACAATAAAAAAATGTGCTCCATATTATATACACCAAGAAAATTTTCACAAGATCATAAATGAATGGTTCCAAGAGATGGAAAAAAAACCTCTTAGGTCAATAGGCAGCCCAGGCAAATGCTCTTTATCACTTGAACTGGACATTGCCCTAGTAACCATCCTTTGAGTTTTTAAAGGATTGCTATGAAATCGTTGAGATGGTAGCTTAGTCGCTGACATTAAGCACAAACTTTTAAGCTCTGCGGCAGATCTTCCCCTATTTAAACCAAAGCTTGTGGGGCTGGGCTTGAAAAGTTTACGAGATGCAGAAACACAGAGGTTGGCCGCTGCAATTCGCAGGCTAGGAGTCGCAGTGGCAGCCATTGTGGGAAGCTTAAATTCACAAGAGTAAAGAAGAATCTGCAATATGACACAGCAAAATAGAACAGAAAATGAGCTTGAATCTCATACAACATCCATCTATTCTATATAGACCTTAAAATGATGTTGATTCTTTTTCCAATTTTCCCACCAAAACAGGCAGAAAAAACTATGACCAAAATAAGGGTTGATTTTTAAAATACTTTTGCATCCTATGGGTAACAATGTCATGAAGATATGGAAGAACTCGCTTCAAGCTGTGGGATGTACTGTACTCCGTAGACAGTGGAGATAAAGGCAAAGCTGCCGGACTGCATGCGTAAGAACATGTCGGGTAAAAGTGAGATACTAACAATAGATAGTGTTAGAAATAGGGGTAGTTCTGCATGGAGAAACAACGCTGCGTAACAACATTACTTGGTATATTGTAACGTAAAATGACTTGATAGACTAATCGAACCACGTAAAATCACGCTTTGAGATTAAAGTAATTTCGAGCTGAGGTATACCAGAATACTTCAATCGAATAAGACGTTAGTATATAGAACGAGTATGGACTTTCTTCTATCATTAAACATACCATGCAAGTCCATAATATAGGCATTTGGGTGATCGGACGTGACCGTTGGCCAAATGGACACAACCCGTGGGGAAAATTTTATCTTTCGGGCAGTTTTTCAATTCGAACTATTCAAATAAGTGGCGACTGATTCGAATAGTTCTTCCAAAAAAACCAGGCTTGTGCTGATCTATTCGAATAAATGGGTATCTATTCAAATACTTGGGGTTCTCCAACACCAGGCCAGTGCTGAACAATTCGAATAAATGTGCATTTATTCAAATAGGACACTATTTTAAGCCTTATTTGAATATGTTTTTCACACGTTCGAAAATTACATATTTTAGACTCCGATATGAAAATTTGAAAGATTTTCATAAAGCGATAATGTCCAAAATAAAAAATTAACTCGACCCCAGCCTGGGACTGCCGCCCCCGACCCCCGCCATGGAATTTCTAATATCGTTGAACGAGCGTGCACTTCGTACCTCCTAACTCGTTAACAACGTCTATTAAAATTCATATCTAATCTTAAGTTAATCCAATTACACAAAATAGCCGATGACACTAAAATCACCAACAGATCGGCAGAGAGAGGAATCTATCTATAAGTTCTCCTGAACTGGCGGCCAACTTTCCTTTAGATTCAACCGGAGCAGAGATTGGACTTGTAGGAAAGCATACCTGCCCGTTCCAAGATTTCATTAGCGAACTGGGTTTGATGTAAGAAAAGGCCCTCTTTGGTGCTGTGGACATTGATGCTGAGAAAAAAGTTAAGGTTCCAAAAGCGCTGAGTGATATGAGATAATCGGAAAGTGGACGAAGCAGTGAAAACGATATCATCAACATACAGATTAAGGTAGGCCACGTGTGTCCCTTGAGCGTAGACAAAGTGAAAGGTATTTGTCTTGCAAGTTGCAACCATGAAATTTGATCTGCTGAAGGAATCCTGCATATTGTTGGTATTAAGAGTGTGGCGTCTGTTTCAATCCATATAAAGCCTTCTTTATAGAGGAGGGTCTTCTTGTTACATTTTTTACTCCTTCTGTCATCATTTTGATTACAATTTTATTTTTTTTCTTTTTTCGACAACTTTTGTTTGTTGTGTGTTTTTATTGATTATTTGATAAAATAAAATATTCTTGGCGTCTCTTGTTTTGTAGAATTTTTTAATATGTAATTTTTATTTCTTATTGACGTACAAATTTGTAAATAAAATAATTTCAAAGATCGTGGGATTTCACTCGGCTTTTACTCGAAGCTTAGCCCTTATTTTTTTACTTTTTGGTGTACTAAATGGTCATTATTTTAATTAAAAGATTTTTTATTTTTAATATAAATATTTTAATTATATTTTATTTTGAATTAATGAAATGTAATTTTTTAATAAAAAAAGATATTGAATACGTGACTAAGGGGCTGTTTGTTTCAGCCTCTTAATGGTTCAGATGTCTGAATGATTCAGTACTTAATGGTTCAGACTGTTTGTTTCAGCCTCTTAATGGTTCAGATGTCTGAATGGTTAAGAGATTTGCCTCTGAATGGTTAAGTATTATACAGAGTCTGAATGGTTAAGAGCTCTTATCTGAATTGATCAGACATTTGCCTCTGAATAGTTAAACAATATACTAGCTCTTAATGGTTCAGACCTCTTACTGGTTCAGCACTTAATGGTTCAGACCTCTTACTGGTTCATCACTTACCCATTCAGAAGTTACCAAACAGTCCCTAATTTGAGTA